CAAAAAACAACATTCCAGTGATGGAACATCCACCGTATTCTCCGGACCTAGCACCGTGCGACTTTTTTCTCTTCCCAAAAATCAAGTCTGCGCTGAAAGGGACCAGGTTCGAGTCCGTGGATGCAGTGAAAGCAAAAGCGACGCAACTCTTGAAGAGCATAACACAAGATGACCTGCAGCACTGCTTCCAACAGTGGAAAATTCGCATGGAGCGGTGTAGGGATCGGGGAGGGGACTACATTGAAGGGGATAACATTTCGACTGTCTGATTTTTTTTTAATAAAGGGTTAGAGCATGAATCCGGTTTCTTTATTGCCACACCTTGTAGTATTCAATGCTAGCAGCATTGGGAGGCTGGTCTGAGAGGTAGAGAACTTTGCAAGACTTAGAAATTGTTGTGGCTCTCTACTCAGAAACACACCTGAAACCTCATATGAGGTTCTTCATTCCACACTGTGATATTTATCAGACTGAATGTGAAGACAGGCAAGAAGGCTGGACCACCTTTGCTGTTCTGAAAGGCATCCCTCACATGTGCAGACTTACCCCCTCCCAGGGGGCTACTGAAGTGGCTGCCAACACAATCTGTGAGTGAAGTTAAAATTTTAACTTTAACATGAAACATACCCAAAAATTCAACGAAATATTTGCATTGTTTTATTCAGTAATATGGATCCATGCTAGTGAAACAATTCAGTAACAACAGTATATATTCATATAAACCTACTAAAGATGATCATTTTGATCGAAACCTGTAGTGGTATGCATAATAAAAACAAATATTGAGTCATTAATATTAGTTTTATTTACTCATAGATTGTTGTGTTGATGGCCATGTTAGTATCCTTAATGAAACACAATGGGATTGGAAAAAGTAAATATATTACCTCCTCTTTTTCAGTAGAAGCAACAGAGGTCTGCATACTATTTGGAAACTGAAATATTGCTTGCAGCTGTTTATAAATCTCCACAAAGACTGTGGAGTGACACAGACATAAATCTATGCTGGCAGGTGACCTGAATTCAAAACACCCAGTTCGAATAGTCAGATTTCAAACCCTCAGGTTTGAAGCTTGCTTCACTGTTGCATAATTGCCATGTTTACAGAGGTGTTGCTGGGCAACCCTGTGTAGCAACTAGTGCGCATTGGCTCGGTTAGGCATGGCACAGAAAAACAGCACTTTCCTTACTGCTGCATAACCTTGTTCCACTTCCAGTTGCCCAACAATGGTTTGACATGTCACAGTATGTTAGCTCTATAACATTTTAGCATCCTGTTGCACTTTTCACTTAGTGTTGATTAGTTTTTTGCAGTCTTATGTGCAGTAGCAGGAGACAGCAGTTTCCTCGCCCAGTAATCTTAACACCTTGGTCAAAACATATAGTGATTGACTTTTAAACTTTTAAAATGAATAACTTTTAATACATTTTATAGAACATATTGTTGCACATGAGACTGCATAAAACTAATTGACACTAAATGTTAGCTCCAACTTCAAAATCTTAGCCCCGAAATGCTCAACACATTACACTCCTGATGGAAGAGATGATGATGTGGACATTGTGATACATCAGAACATCTAACTGTTGAGGGTCATCATTGTGAATATTCTGGACTCATATTGTTTATTGTTTATTGTTATTAAATAACTCCACAAATCCTGTATAGGGGCTTTAGCACCCATAGGATATAGAGCTAGTCAAACATGTATCATATCACTTACCAATCATATTTAGCATTCTGGACCCTGTTAGAATAAGGGAAACTTTAGATCCAGTTGAAAAACCGATGAACTGGGAGCAGTTTCAGAGCCTTGCTTCTGAACTGGTATCTCCAAATATACAAATTTGTCCTTGTGATAAAGTTGATAAAGCAGCATGTGACTTTGCAGCCTCTGTAGCTTTGACATACAGGCTATCGATTAGAAAAACTGTGAAATTAGACCATAAATATGAAATGCCAGGCCTAGATCATTTATTAAAGCACAAAAGAAAGCTTAGACAATTATGACAGAGACCATATACTGAGTCACTCAGAATATTAGGAAAATGGTCCAGAAGACAACACTTGAAGCTCAGAAGCAGTGTTACACTGCAAGAATAGGTGTTTTCTGTGTGGTCCACTCTGAGGGCTTTTCATTTGACACGTGAGGTGGAAGCAGGTGCCTGAGAACTGGAGCTGTGGAATGCAAGCTGAGGAATCTACGGTGTTAGCAGCCATTACCAGTGAAGAGATAGCAGACTGAAAATTTTTATGCATGCTGTGGACAATTTTAGAGTGTGTGAATTAGCAGTGACACTGCAATTAATTGTGGTTACAAGTTTTAAGAGTCCAGTAAATCTGATTACCAATCCAAACCCCATCTGTAGGCTCCTAAAACATGTCAATATGAACAAATTCTAGCTATTATAAATTCTTTCCAGAACTTCTTGCCAAGGCAGATGGTGTAGCTGTAACCTTCTAGACTCATATTCAGGAATTTCTAAATTCAAATCTCTGTCCGTTGATTCAGCCAGTTTATTCTTTCAACAGCTTCCTCAACCTGATCTTGAAACTGACTTCTGTGTTTACTTTGGTTCATCCTCTTACCAGCCATAGTTCTGTTTCTTCACATTAATGTTTTTTACTAAATAACTTCAGTAGTTGGTATGGCACAGTTAAATAATGTACAAATCACTCCACAGTGATGTGTAATGTCTGGTGGCTGTCTTACTGTGGCTGCTTCTCCTGTTAGCTCACATACTTAGGCAAGTGTTGGGTGTTGATTGGTTGCCTTCACCAGGGAGTCGAAGAGCAGCGATTCATTCTGTTCACTGGGTTCTGCTAGCACGGTGTCCATGACATCACATACTGGTGGTGGGAAGGTGGCTTTGAACCAAGAGGCTGCTGGAGTGCCACCACATGCAGACCCAGTATTTGCTGTTAGAAGACCAGGCAAACAGATTAAATCTTTGTCCACCAGTGTGAAGCCACCCAATGTACTGGTGTACTCAGAGAGCAGTGTTGCTCTGGAGAATGTGAAAGCTGTCATCCGCTCGACGCTGCAGAGAGACAAGTGAGTACCAATGAGCCCCCCCCCCCGCAGAAAGAGATATTTTTGTGCATTTATAATTTCTGAAGGGTTCTGCGATGGTGTATAATACTCAGAATTATTGGGTTTTTGGACTTTGTCCATCAACAGGTCTTCTAAAAACTAGAAATCACAACGTTTCAGAAACTGTATCTGTTTCCTTCCTCAGGTGAGGGGGCGGAGACACCTATAACAGCATAGGTGTGTCCCCTCCCCCCATCTGAGGATGGAAACTGATCCAGTTTCTGAAATGTTGTATTTTCTAGTTTCAAACTTGGACCAGTAAATAGACCCACCTGTGGAAGGTGCCATCAAAGATAAAACAGCCTCACACATCATATATGATTATAAGGTTCTAGCTGAATTAAAATTTTGTTGTCTGGAACTCCATTTCGTGAAGCCGAGCAACTATCAACAGGCCCCATTAAGCAAAGTACTATGCTTCATTTGAAGTATGTGATTGCTAGAGGGCAGAACTTAGAAAGGAAATGCACAGTATAAGTATAAGTGGTCATGGCCCAAAGGTCAATCTGTTATTCTGCTCTTGTCATTCATAAGTAACTTCACGGACTGTCGTATTTGTTACAGGTATGTCATTTACACAGTAAGCAAATCCACACTACTGTCTTCACCATGGTCAGACAACACCATACTGCTGGTGGTGTGTGGTACAGTTGCAGATATCCTGGCACCAACGTTCATGAGCTACTTACTAAACGGAGGGCGGATTTTATGCCTCTGCTCTGATTTCCTGCATCTGGTTCTCCCAACATTTCGAACAGCTGAGGTGCGGGAACATGAATTAGTGCGCTTCTCTTATGCACGTTGGAAGCATGTTCAAATGATGCATCACATCTTCTGCTATCAGGCATCACCTGCACGAACAAGGTTCTCCCCTCGTGAGCCCCAGGAACCTGACAACGTGGCAGCGTCTCCACAACAAAGCACTAATTCCAGGTACACTGTTCTGCATTCTACTGGTCTCACATGTGGATAGTTTGAACTTTGAATGTACATCACCGAAATCAGATCTAAAGCATTGTGAATAATGTTAAATATGAAAAAGTTTCTCTCATCTGGTATGTGACGCTGTGTAGTCTGGTATAAAGTTGCTGTTGCTTTGGAGGAACTTCCTGCCTCCACCATCGGGATAAGTCAGCAAATCAAACATGGAAAGAAATGATGCAGGTATAAGGAGGCAGAGGATGGGAACAGGGTGCTAACGGAACCAATAGGAGTAAGGAGAACAGTGCAAAAAAATATTTACTTCTAAACGCCCTTTTTCAAAGGACGGAGGAATTGGGAAAAATTATGGCTTTTGGTGAACCAGTCCACAACCTTGAAGTCAGTAGTCTTCATAATTGCTGCCACAAGAACCTCAAATTTCACATGGAATTTGCTGGGTTGATTTTTGCATGCTCTTGTTATGTTGGGCATTTTTGACTCTTCACATCTGGTTCATTTGCTGATGTTTCAGAGCTCCACAGCCCCCATCTTCTGTACAGGTTTTTGATGGAAACAACAAGCCACATACATTGCATGTTCAGGTGCTGGGAGCAGAGGAGACGTGGCACACCCCGTCACTGCTGCTTGCAACAGTTGGACGTGGGGACGGCAAAGTAGTATTCTCGCAAGTGCACCTCGAGGTGGATCCCACACAGTACGAGGATGAAGAAAGCAAGTTTGTAGCTCTGAAAGAAAGCAACACAGCTCGACTGGAGATCATACAGGATCTGCTGTCCATGCATCTTGGTCTGGAGTGCACCACCAGTCAGAAATTGCCTTCCTACACGCCTGGCTACTTCCTTGGCAGGCATGAGGTTCGAATTAGTATTAGTTTCTGGGACCTGCAGCACTAGAAAATGTTCGGATGTTTCCTTGCATAATTCTGTTGTCTTCTCCCTTTCTCATTGTTTTAACTCTATTACTGTGTAACCAGCCAAGTGCCATGCCAGGTCAGTTGCACATGACAAAGTATGTGCATTGTCCTCACACTGATTATTTATATGTAGAGAGGAGATATGCACTGAAATGTTGACCAATTACTATCTGCTCTCTGAACGCTTCTAATGTCACAATTTTCCTGTACAGGTTCACTGTTCAAAGCCGTTAACCACTAGTTTTACAACTTGTATTATGATCACAGAGGCACTGAGTAAGGTTGGTGTTGTAATACTCCATACCTATATTCAGGAGGTGCTCAGTTTGAATCTTAAGTGAGTTACTGACTATCCTCATATGTTCTTCAAGGTCTTCTGCAGTCCCTCCAGGCAATTGCAGGGTAATACCTTGATAGAACAGATTTGCTTTCTCCTACATTCTTTCCATCACTCATCCTACCATCTAATAGTGTGTAGTCAAGAGACCAACAGCTATCTTAAATCACAAAGAAATTATTACATGCCTAGTGTTATATCTTTGCTCTTTATATTATTTGACATTTCATCAAGTAGTTTGTGTATAGGAACAACAGATGGCTGGTAAAGAGTGAGGCTGGAAATAAAAGGGACGGTAAAATATTAATGTAAAATTGTGGGGGAAGAGAGCGAGGGATATTTGGTTGAATCTGGAAATATATAACTTCTGATATTTTGTGTTGCCTGCAGATGAAGCTGGAGTTCCTTAACAGTCTCCATAGTCGTCTGGAAGGAGATAACATCCTCAAGATGTCTCAGATAAGTCTACAGTTCTGCACTGCCAAGGGGGTGGAGCCCCCAAAAGCCACTGCCAACTTCATGCCTATTCTTGTTCATGCCTGCCCTGCCAACTTCTCCACTATAGAGTACTTTGAGGTACATTGTCACTAGCTGGCCAATTTTTCATGAAAGATAGTCTGAACAACATGCTATTAGAAGCCATTTCATCTGATAATTTTATTAACTCCTTGTTGTTAGTAATACCAATATAGGACTGCCTTGTGAGGTCGAGAGTAATAATAACTTAATTTATTTTATCATTTGTAAGTTTTGTGTGACTGGGAAGTTTGGCACGTGGTTATGCTGTACGCTCATTTTTGGGAGGTGCTTGTTTCATATATCACCAGATGTCCTGACTGAGGTTTTTGTGGTTTTCCTCAGTCCCTCCAGACAAAATACCAGGATAGTACACTGAATAGTCCATGATTACTTCCTTCCACACCCTTTTCAATTCACCTATCATCCTACCACTCAATGCTATATACTCTAGATACCAACAGTGTTGTGAACAACCCGCAGAAAAGGGTTTTTGTTTTGTAGATCTTCAAAATTTGTTCTTATTTTGTGAGATTAATTTTTGTGTGAGTTTGGTGTTGTAACCTGTATGGAATATATCTGTAGTATTAAAATTACTGAAGGTTGTATTAGAGTGGATAGCATCGTTACTTCATACACAGGATGTCTTATGTTCCATCTCCGCTTAGAGACTGGCTATTCCAATTAAGGTTTCACATTGTCCACCCCAGCCCCTTCTGGTAAGTACTGGGAAAATACCTCAAATGAGTGACCATTTTGGATCACCAGTTGCTTATATTGAAAGGCCTATTATTTCCTTTCACAGATTTTATGATGCATTGTACTTGTTGACCCAGATGGGGCACCCCTTCCTTCCCCTCATGTTTATTTTGAAACATAAACCTATATATGCCTAACCCTCCTTACACACCTCACCCCTGATGTTGGCAGCACTGCCCACATCCACATGATATAAACACTGCTGAACCAAATTATCATCACCGATGAACCATGATGAAAGCCTAAAATCTGCAAATTAATCTTGTTAAACATTCATTATGGCTCATTTTATGGACTTCGTTCAGAGAAGGCATACTTACACAGTGCGTGGCTGCAATTGGTGCAACTGAGGGCCTGCCGCAGCAAACCCTTGAATTCAAGGTCTATCCTGGTTTTTTTTTTCTTCCAGAATCTCCAGTCAGATGTTCTGGGTCGCTTGGTTATCTTCTCAGAGGTGATGACAAGTTCCATGGATGTTCTGTCTGGGGTGCCACTGCAACATGGACTGGCTGTTGTCCCATGCCAGCAGACACATGGTGTAGGACGTGGTGAAAATGTGTGGCTCAGTCCTGAGGGGTGTGCCATGTTCTCAATACAGCTGCACATCCCCCTCAATTCGTATCTTGGACAGCACATCTCTCTGCTACAACATATTGTAGGTGTGGCTGTTGTTTCAGCTCTCTGCAGCATACCTGGTTACCAGGTATGGCCATGTTTTGCCAGTAATTGGGTTCACCAGACGTGATATGCATTCTTCTTTACTAATTGATAACATACTTGAGGATGGGTTTAGAAATGTCTGTTTTGTTTGTCCTTGGGCAGTGGCTTTATGGCACACATGTACTAAGTATTTCAATTATATTAGTGATTTTTAAAAACTCACTGAGTTCTGTTTAAAAGATTTTTTCTGCAACCATAATTTACATTTATGTGGGTCAATGGACAGGGCTTTCATGTTCCTCCTGTCCAAATGCTGAAATAGTACCCCGAAGTAGATCACATCCATTTTCTTCCACAGCCTTTCCAGTTCATTATTCACTGATCATCATATTATTCAACACTTTATAGTCTGAGTTACCAACAATATTTTTAAATGAACCATGGATAAACTCTTTCAGCATTTGTGACACTTTTCAGGACTTGGACTTGCACCTTAAGTGGCCCAATGACATCTATACTAGCCAATCAGCAAAGCTGGGTGGCATCAATGTGAAAAATTCCATAAATAACGCTGTTGCTGTTTGCAATGTTGGTAAGCCATCATATGCTCATTATTCTCTATTCTTGTAAGCTAGTAATTATTTCAAGTCTTTCTTCCTCACTGGTGTAATATAAATAAACTTTATGAATTTTCAAGGAATGCCCTGCTTCCCATGTGGTTCCAGCCCCCCTCACCCCTACCCATTAAGCTCTACATCCCGTCTGTCAGCCGTCATCCAAATGTCGCTACAGCACAGGCACCTCATGTATTCACATACTCATTATTGAGGCAATTTGAGACAAGGAATATTTTTGTGATTATAATTTGAGGCATTAACCATGAGAACAGTGTAGTCTATTCCATTGGGTCTCAAACTTTGTTTTGCTCTCAGTTGGGGACAGTGATATCAAAGTTCTCTGCACTGATTGGGAGCTGTTCAGGTTAGATCTCCAATCAGATATGAGCCCAGATTTCTGTGTGCACCTCCACCAAAGCTTAGGGCGCATTTCCACGGGGCGTGACACTCTAGCGTGAGGCAGGTATTCGTGAGTACGACCCATGTGAACGAAGCGTCGTGGAAATTCTTATGATGTCACAGGCAAGAGTGAGGGCTCACGCTTCATATCAAACATGTTTGATTTTCAGTCGTGAGTTTGCCTCTACAATGTCTACACCCGATCGGGTCATAAAATTACGAGAAAGGGAAACGCATTCCAGAAGGAAATCAAATTGGTCTTCAGACACTCGTAGTAAGTTACTTTAAATCATCTGGGTAACTATTTCTGAGTTCCATGTCAACCAAATTATGTGGCCCTAATTTCCTATTTAGAATCCACTTCCTAACCCACCATCACCTTTTCTTCTGTTTTCCTTTCATTTCCACCATCTGATTCATTCTCTGCACTAAAATAGCAACAAAAACTGAACTCACAACAGCACAACTTTCTATGAGGAGCTCGTTCATGGTTGGCTTTCCACGATCAACTGAATCATGTCTTCGTAGACACTTCAGCCAGTGTGAACTATTCACGACCCATGGCTGGTGGGTTCACGCCTGCAAATTCACGAAAGCACGTACGAAAGCGTTGCACGCTTTCGTATCTACACCCTGTGGGAACATAGGATTAGACTTTAGAAAAGTGAGTAGTACAAGGCCCGCCCAGCCGTGGTTCAGGTTCCACATTCTTCGAGTGTTCATTCTTGCTGTCTTTCTTGTGTGTAATGTTATGTCAGAAATGGAGGGAGCATGATGAAAACATAACTTGGAACCAAAAAATAAACTTTTTCTGTTTTCTACTAAAGTACTGTAATGGATTTGATCAACTCATTGCCAGGCAATGGCTCGATAAACACCCCATGATACGTGAACACAGCAACAGAATGGAATTATGCAATCCATTTCCAGACAACGGCTTGATAAACACATTCTCATGTATTGGATCATGCTATGCAATGTGATGACATCATCAAGAATACAGGCTGTTTTCCATGGGGTCTGTGCAAAGTGATTATAAGAGAAGTGAATTCATAAGCTAGGAGCACTTGAGAGTACAAGGACGAGACTGGAGCATGCCCTTAGTGAATTATGAAGATTAGTTGAGTATAGATTAGGACAGAAGGGTACAAAGTGATTGAAAAATAAGAAGACTTCATAGTGATTTGAAGTGTTTGTTTCTGTTTTGAGATCCATTGCTAAAAGGTGACTAATGGAAACTGAGAATCCTAGTGCGTGTGCAATGGCGAACTGGAAATTGTGGAAATCAGCGATAGCTCTGTATTGCCTGTACTTAAGAGTGTTTGTAAAGGAAAGTACTAATAAATGCAATCATCTGAACTAGAATCCATTATTTTCGTCATGCATACCATCCTACATGTGACAGTACATTTACTGTTACAGATCTCCTGGGCTTTGCCCATCATCTGGCATTACAAACATGATACGTGTCAGAAACTGGGCCTGCCTCCATCCTTAAGTGAAAATATGAGGAGGCACTTTTCCAGTTGAGTCTTTATAAAGCTATAAGTATAAATTTTATCCTGCCTCCATTTTATGAACTTCTGCTTATCCAAGCTGTGTTAGCAGTGTTGTGAAATTGTATACAGACAGTTGACATCACTGTTTTGTCATTTCAGGTGTTGGTGTGAACCTTGACAATAAGAACCCCACGACATGTATCAATGAGATGATTGTGCAGCTCAACTCCATGGCATCTGCTCCAAGCGAGAAGCTGGCACCACTGTCTTGCGAGAAGTTGCTTGCAGTCACATTCACACAGCTTGAGAGTCTTCTGAATTCAATCCAGATGGGTCACATACAGCAAATCCTGCAGCTGTACTACAGTTATTGGCTTCACAGGTCTACAGACTTAATACTCCAAAACTGATTGCCCATAACAGAGTGGTAGAGCTAGACATTTTATTTTCCAATTGGAATGCTGAAGGTTTAGTAAGCAATGCAACCACATTTCATCTTTAACAGGTCCCGTAGCTTACAAGTTTGAAAGATGTTGAAATGTCACAGGAGAAGTTTGTTATTATACATCAGCATTTTCGTGTATTTGCAGTTTTATTTCCGTGTCATGAGGATTGTCAGTGTGCTATCTGTGGCCACAACAAAGAGCTGCCATGCATGCACCATCATTTCCCTCATTGCCCACACCATTTTGAACTCTCACTATGTTAAGTGTTCATGTAATGTGTTTCCCATTTTACACATTTTCAGTACTCATGACAATTTTCAGGGACACGAACCCCACATATAACAAGAGTCAACCAATGATGTAAATAGTTTGATGATTATGAATGATGGCTTAAGAAAAATATGAAGCAAATTATTATTCAGTAAACAAGCTGGTCTAGATATAGTGCCTTAAACTTGTTTCAGAGGTTCTTAGTTAAAATCTTATCAGGGTCCTGGTTATTGTTGCTGAGCTTTTCATGATTTTGCTCAGTTCCTCCAGGTAAATGCCAGAACAGTCCCTCAATTAGACTGTGACTGTTTCCTTCAAAATCTTTTCCATTTCATCATCATTCATGTGTTATTGTTTCTATCTGACTGTACATAATCTTGATGTTGACAACACTGTATTGTAAAAAAAAATATGATTATTTTTTATTTAAAGAACTGTTCCAGAATTTCCCTTGAGGGACTGAGGGATATCAAGACTCAATGCAGTATTCTCCAGGCCGGTATTCAAACATGAGGAACCTCGCAAACATGAAACAGTATTGCTGTTTACTATGCTGTGACATTGGTGTCTGGGATTAAGAAATTGCTGTAAAGAAATAGGTTTGTGGGGGGTGTACTGGATTCATCTGACTCAGGATAAAGACCTGTGGTAGGTTCTTGTGAACACAGCAATGAAACTTCTGGTTCCTTAAACTTTGAGGAATTTCTTGATTAGCTGAGCAACTGTTAGTTTATCAAGATGGCTGTGCTATATGGAATTAGTTTGTTAATTAGTTAGTTGGTTGCTTGCTTGCGTGGTTAGGAAAATGAAATTGGAAAATTAATTAAAATTGATTTGCTGGAGCTGTGATCAGCTTAGGAAGATGATGTTAGATTTCAAATTGCTTTGCAAGGGATTGCTCTGATAAACTGGGTATAACATAACATAACATAACATAGCTACATGGTTTCACAGATCCTTTGTCCGGAAACCGGACTGGATATTGAACTCGTCACAGCTAAACTGACATTGCAATGTGCAACCTGGTCTAGACAATAAAATATTCAACAATTATAACATTGATAGGTACAACAGTATAAAAATCAGTCATCTTACAATTCTTTGCTAGAACACAGTCTTAGAAAACAGACTGTAACAGTGCATAAAATTACCTACTTGCCATATATTCACCTACCGAGTAAAATGCTTTTGAGGCCAGAAAATCCTTTAGTCTTTGTTTAAAAATATTAATATTGTCTTTCAAGATATATATGTTTTGTGGCAGGTTGTTAAATATTCTAATAGATGTAAAATGCACACCCTTCTGAATGGAAGATAATCTCACAGAAGAAACATGTAGCCTATTGTGCCATCTGGTACTTATTTGATGTATGTTATCGTTTGCTTGGTACATATTATAATTTTTAATTACAAACAATAT